CAGAAGGTGGATTATAATGATGTTATGGGATAATCTGAATATTACCAGAGCTCAAATTTAATGAGAACATATGAGAAAATAGTAGACCTAGGGCAAGAATAGGACCTAAGACGAGTAGATAAAAGCTGATAATGCATGAGTTAAAAACGAATAAGTACGTTAAATTAAATGTGGCACTAAAGGAAAAACGAAATGGAAAGATGATAATACAATATTACTGTCAAAATATTTCCTTACCAAAAGCCTCAAAGACAAAGGACTATGCCATATTACGTAGGCCTTAAATGTATGGTGAAAAAGCGACAACTTATTTTTCTGGATGTCCCTTACACATTAATTCAGAAATAAAAAGAGCTAACCACAGAAGGATGAATGACTTGCGGCCTGTAAGCCGCTACTCACTAAAGCTTCTTCTACTAATTTGTCCGATAGTAAACAGTAAATTAACGGTCCTCATATTCTACAAATGGAGCTCTTTGTTTTTAACTTACCAGATTATAAATCAAACAGACCAGTATACTATGCCTGAATATAATGGATTACTGCCACAAAGTTTACTTGAAATGGGAGAGGTAACAGTCGACAAAAGTCAAAAAATAATCATCATATGACTAATAACTTGCAAAACAACGTATGGTAGAAATAAACTCAAGATACTTTTATGTAAAACTCAAGAGTGAACTAAAAATCCATGCTCCACGTATAGGAAACCTAGAATATAACACTAAGCCTTTGAAAATCCCATGCAATCGACTGGATATGATCTCAAAATTTCATAGCTAAGATTATAAAAATTTCAAATTCATTTTGATATTAAACAGCAAAATGAAACCGGGGCATAATACATGATATTACTTGCAAAATATTATCTTCCCAAAGGCCTCAAAGACTTGTGCAATATCTTGTTCGGTAAGCTCCAAATGTATCCCTGAAACGTAAACACGTTTTTCCAGTTTTCCCTCCCGTATTAATTCAGCAATAAAAGGTGCAGGATTGGGAAGATTACTTGGACGACCTACTTTGAGCTGCCGACCACCAAAGCTAGCTCCATTCATTTGTTCAATTGCAAGCATAGCAGATTCGGGATACTCGTACTCCACAAAAGCAAACCCCTTGTGCTTTTGAGTTGCGGGATCCCAACTCATACTGATAGTTCTAATAGGCCCAAATGGCATGAATGATTGCTTCAACATTTCCTCTCTTATATCATAGGCGATCGAGCCGACGTAAACTCGATTAAGAAGAGCAACAGTCTGATTTCTCTTAATGTTGCACAATTGAGCATTTTGCTGATTTTGCGTCTGCTTTAGGAGAACAGTTCGAATACTTTGCTCCATAGCGTACTTCTTCGCTCGTTCAACGGCGTCCTTCTGGTGGACCGCAAGTTTGCGTAGCGAAAATGGAGCCTGGTATTTGCTTGCCCCAGGACCATTGTAAATTGGACCATTGGGTTCCACAGAACTTTTGAATCCAAGAATATTGGTGAAAGGAATACTGGCCAAAGCATTAGAGGGCAACATTACAGAGCAAAGTCGTGCCATACGCCAACCCAGCTCCAACCTTTAAAACAACAGCTTCTAAATTTATAGCATTAATAACAAACCCTAAGTAAAGCGATTTTAAAAAAGGTCGATAAATTATATATTGTTTTATTTGAATAGTAAGAGTGGAAAATAACCCATTATTATTATGGTCATTAAAGGAAGAAGAGTCTAG